TTAGTTTTTTAAGCCACCTCCATACTGTTCTCCATAGTGGCTGTATCAATTTACATTCCCACCAACAGTGCAAGAGGGTTCCCTTTTCTCCACACCCTCTCCAGCATTTATTGTTTTTAGATTTTTTGATGATGGCCATTCTGACCGGCGTGAGGTGATACCTCATTATAGTTTTGATTTGCATTTCTCTAATAATTTAGTGACGCTGACCATCTTTTCATGTGCCTCTTGGCCATCTGTATGTCTCCTTTGGAGAAATGTCTATTTAGGTCTTCTGCCCAATTTTTGATTGGGTTGTTTGGTTTTTTGATATTGAACTCCATGAGCTGTTTGTATATTTCGGAGATTAATCCTTTGTCCGTTGCTTCGTTTGCAAATATTTTTTCCCATTCTGAGGGTTGTCTTTTCATCTTGTTTATGGTTTCCTTTGCTGTGTAAAAGCTTTTTAAGTTTAATTAGGTCACATTTGTTTATTTTTGTTTTTATATTCATTACTCTAGGACGTGGGTCAAAAAAGATCTTGCCGTGGTTTATGTCACAGTGTTTTTCCTATGTTTTCCTCTAAGAGTTTTATAGTGTCTGGTCTATTTAGGTCTTTAATCCATTTTGAAAACTTTTGTGTATGACATTAGGTATGGTGTTCTAATTTCATTCTTTTACATGTAGCTGTCCAGTTTTCCCAGCACCAATTATTGAAGAGGCTGTCTTTTCTCCATTGTATATTCTTGCCTCCTCTGTCATAGATTAGGTGACCATAGGTGCATGGGTTTATCTCTGGGCTTTCTATCCTGTACCATTGATCTATAGTTCTGTTTTTGTGCCACTACCATACTGTCTTGATTACTGTAGCTTTGTAGTATAGTCTGAAGTTGGAAAGCCTGATTCCTCCAGCTCTGTTTTTCTTTCTCAAGATTGCTTTGGCTATTCAGGGTCTTTCGTGTTTCCATACAAATTGTAAAATTTTTTGATCTAATTCTGTGAAGAAGGTCATTGGTAATGTGATAGGGATTGCACTGAATCTGTAGATTGCTTTGGGTAGTACAGTCATTTTCACAATATTGATTATTCCAATCCAAGAACATAGTATATTTCTCCATCTGTCTGTGTCATCTTTCATTTCTTTCATCAGTGTTTTATAGTTTTCTGTGTAAAGGCCTTTTTATTCCATGTAGAATTGGAAGTTCTCACCAAGCAATTAAGCAAGAAATAGAAATAAAAGGCATCCAAATTGGAAAGGAAGAAATAAAATTACCTCTATGTGCAGATGATATGATTTTATATGCAGAAAACCCTAAAGAATACACACACACACAGAAAACTGTTAGAATAAATGAATTCAGCAAAGTAGCAGGATACAAAAATCAACATATAAAAATCAGTACATTTCTACACACTAACAGTGAATAACCCAAAAAGGAAATTAACAACTCCATTTACAACAGCATAAAAATGAATAAAAATGGCAGTAAACTTAACCAAGGAAGTGAAAGCCTTGTACGATGAAAACTACAAAACATTGCTCAAAGAAATTAAACAGACATAAATAAATGGGAATATATCCTATGTTCATGGATCATAAGACTTAATATTAAGACATCAATACTAACTAAAGCAATTTACAGATTCAGTGTAATCCCCATCAAAATCCCAATGACATTTTTTGCAGAAATAGAGAACCCATCCTAAAATACATAGGGAATCTCAAGGGACCCTGAATAGCCAATACAATCTTGAAAAAGAAGAAAGAAGCTGGAGAGGTCACACTTCCTGATTTTAAAACTCACTGCAAAGCTATAAAAATCAAAACATAGTGGTATTGGCATATAGACAAATGGAGGAGAATAAAAAGCCCAGATATAATTCCCCACATTTATTGTCAAATGATTTTCAACAACAGTGCCAAAAATCCAAAGGGGAATGGTCAGTCTCTTCCTCTTCTGGGAAAACTGTAAAAAGAATGAAGTTGGATCCTTACTTAAGACCATACACAAAAATTAACTCAAAATGGGGCTTCCCTGGTGGCGCAGTGGTTGAGAGTCCGCCTGCCGATGCGGGGGACACAGGTTCGTGCCCCGGTCCGGGAAGATCCCACATGCTGCGGAGCAGCTGGGCCCGTGAGCCATGGCCACTGAGCCTGCGCGTCTGGAGCCTGTGCTCCACAGGGGGAGAAGGCAAAAAAAGTGAGAGGCCCGCGCACCACAAAAAAAAAAAAAAAAAAAAATTAACTCAAAATGGATCAAAGATCTAAATGTAAAAGCCAAAACTATAAAACTCTTAGAAGAAAACATAGGGTAAAAGCTTCACAATCCTGGATTTGGCAATGCTTTCATGGATATGACAGGAAAGGCGCAGGCAACAAATGTAAAAACAGACAAATTGGACTTCACAAAAATTTAAAACTTTTGTGCATCAAAACATATTGTCAACAGAGTAAACAGGCAATCCATGGAATGGGAGAAAATATTTGCAAATCATTTGTGATAAGGGATTAATATCCAGAATATATAGAGAATTCCTGAAACTCAACAACAAAAATTCTGATTAAAAAATGGGCAAGGAACTTGCACTTATCTAAAGAATATATAAAAATGCCCATAAACACATGAAAAGATTTCAATATCACTACCCATTAGGTAAATGCAAATCAAAACTACAATGAGATACCACCTCATACCCATTAGGATGGCTACTATCAAAAAAACAGATAGTGAGGATGTTGGTGAGCATGTGGAAAAATTGAAACCCTTGTGCACTGTTGGTAGGAATGTCAAATGGTACACCTGCTGTGAAAAATAGCATGGTGGTTCTTCAAAAATCTAAATGTAGAACTGCCCTTATGATTCAGCAATTCTACTTCTGGGTATATTCAAAAGAATTGAAAGCAGGGTCTTGAAGAGATATTTGTACATCCATGTTCACAGCAGCACTATTCACAATAGCTAAAATGTGGAAGCAACCCAAGTTCCATCAAGAGATGAATGGATAAGCAATATATGGTATATCCATACAATGGAATATTATTCAGCCTTAAACAGGAAGGAAATGTTTACATATGCTACAACATGGATGAACTTTAAGGACATTAGCTAATCTCAAAAAAACAAATGCTGTATGATTCCACTTATACAGAAAGTAGAATGGTGGTTGCCAGGGTCTTGGGGGGATGGTGAGTTATTGTTTAACGGGTATAACGTTTCAGCTTTACAAGATGAAAAGAGTTCTGTGTGCGTCTATAGATAGAGCTAGGATACTTATATCTGCCTGTCTACTGAAAGCCCTCAAACGGTGACTGACTCAGTATCCCTAGAATACAGATTATGATCTTGAAATGCTATTTCCTTCTTTAAAAAAACAGAGTTTCTTGAAGAAATGATGATTTCAGATTTGGGACAGAATTGATTTAAGATATCAGACAACAAGGAAGCTATTAAAGACTAGTAGGGTCATATCAAAAGGATAGGCTTGAATAGGCTCCCCCCAGCCAAAGATGAGACCACATGAGCTTTGATAATAATAATTGCAATGAACTGAAACACGTAAAATGTTTAAATTCATGACCTCATACTGATATTAGATTTTTAAAAAGAATTGTCTCAAAAACAATACAAAAAAGAATTGTCTTCAGAAGATAAAAAATCGATTCACTTTCTCAAAAACTGGTAAATAAATGGAAAGAATCAAACACTTATGCTGCCTTTCCTAAAGGAATTGTACTGCTGCATATTCAAATGATAGATAAAGGACTAATATTCCAACTAATAAGTAAAAAAGCCACGATAGAATACCACTATTTTGCAACCTTCAATGAACAGATATAGGCATCAAGTACAAACAGGTGCTGAAAACACAAAGAGAAACAATGCGACATTCCACACCTCCTATGGTCTTGGCAAACACCACCTAGAGAATTACCAAAGGGATTGAATCTGAGTCTGATCCAGTCTTGGATCCAGCTACTAATATACAGGAATTACCCAGGGCAGAGAAACATAATTAACTGTACATGAGTGTGCAATCTGCAAAATCCAGACTGTAGGGTATACACGTCAAATGACCCAAGTTCTTCATCAGATAAATTGTAAGAAAAGAAAGGAATAGGGAGAAAACCTACAGATTAAAAGAGGTTTTTTTTAAAATGTAATGACAAGACTACATTATAGTGCTGAAGAATACAGATTTATGAAAAAACTTTTTTTAACACAAGGAAGCAATTACTATAAAAGTCAGAAGAGTGGCTACTAATGGGAGTACACAAGTAGTTGTAATTGGGATGGAGCGAAGTTTTAACACAGCTAGCATGGTTCTTCACCCTGACCTAGGTGGTATCGTCTTTCAGTAATTCATTAAGTTACACATTTTTATGTATGTTCTTTTGTTTGACTTCATAATAAAAATTCATTTTTTAATAAAAAGATTTTGTTAAATAACAATAAAAGCGAAAGGAAAGGAAATACTAACTAAAAGAAGGCTGGTAGAGCCAGAATGCCTAGGTTCGAATCATGGATTCTGCCACACAACCAAGAAAGTACTAATCTCTGTGCCTCAATTTCCTTATCATAAAATGAAGATAATAAAAGTACTTAGCTCATAGGTTCTTGTGAAGATTAGGAAAGTTAATATAGAAAGGACAAATAGAACAGTGCCTGGCACACAGAAGTGGTGATCAGAGTTGGTGACCAGCTATCTGTGTTATCTTAAAAAGTTATTTAACCATTCTGGGCTTCAGTTTCCTTAATTGAGTTTAAAAAATCTGATAGGAGGGACTTCCCTGACAGTCCAGTGGTTAAGACTCTGAACTTCCAATGCAGGGGCATGGGTTCGATCCCTGGTTGGGGGAACTAAGACTCCCACATGCTGTGGTGGGGTGTGGCCAAAAAAAAAAAATACAGTATCTGACAGGATTATGAGGAGGTCAAAATATACATATAGTATTCCATAATTAGCAGATCCTTTCCAGTCTCTCAACATCCAGAGAGAGTTATCTGTCACATCAGACATACCTCAGTCATAGCACAGTCCTCTTGCACTTTTCACCTGGTCATTCAAGTTGATCTCAATGAAATGATCACTCAGTGACTCTCATATCTGAAACTGGATCTTCATCTAAGTTTCAAAAAGATAAAGAGACCCAAATCTTAAAAAGTTCATCTCCTAGTAAGAATGGTCACGTGTTATTCCCAGAACAGGCATCTGTCTTACTGGTGGTAACCACTAAACAGAAGCTGGAACAACTGAATTAGCTAATGGACTCCGATGCTCCCCACCACATGCCTTCACCATTGTCTTCTTTCCCCTTATCTTTCCTGTCCCCGCTCTGTTGAAACATTTACCTGGGAGTCCAATTGTATCATCATCTAGCATCAATTCTGATTCTGGCTTCAAAGGTAGAATGTGGGAAGCAGTCAGCCTTGAGAGCAAGCTGCAGACATGCCAGGCATGCCGCTGCTGCTCGAAGGGACTGTGCCTACTTGTTCCTCTCCTTGTTCCATTCCATGGGAGATAAATCACCAGGGCCCAGAGATCAGAAAGAATGTAAAATGAGACAAGCAAAGCTGTCTCCCCCCTGCACGTGCAGGTTATTTTTGATGATTCTGGGTTTATGGGTTTTCTCCCAGGGAAGTTAACCTTGAGCCGAGACAGTCTGTAGATAATGTAAACCACCATCTGGCAACCTTCCTTTTTCTAGTCTATATAATCTGCAACTGTAGCATAATAAAATTTGCCTTGCAACCATCAGTTGTCTTGGTCCTTCTGACCCCATTCGTCGGTGCTACTTCAGTTCCTTACCCCTTCCCTTCTGACCCTGGGCGGCGAAATCCTCTTTCTCTGGCTGGTCTGCGGCAGTAGAATAATTCTCATAGGCAGGCGTACTCTCAGACAATACCACTGAACACAAAAAGCAAAGGCAGGGAGAACAACTTTCACAATTTCACCTGTGACCAAGCCCTCCTTTTCAGAAGTCCATACTGTGAAATTAATGTGCCAATAGTTTGCAGCTGCCTTTACCCCACTACAAGCTGTAACAGGACATAGGTCTGGAACTCTGAGTCAGAAGAGACCCAATGCTTCCCAAAGCCAAAGCAGAAGGTGCAGCTTGCTTTAATCAGTGTCATAACACACCTAAAGTAAGACTGTGAGAATAGGAGTTGCAGGGTTGGAGTTCATTTGTACACAGCATAGAAAGCCAAGTGCATAGAAGCAAAACACATTTCTATCTCCTTGCACTGAGATCTCCCAAGAGTCCTTTGGTAACTTGCCCTTTATAGGTCTGAAGCCCCTGTAACATGCACCATAAATTAAAATGTAATCATTTTTCACTACTTTGCGGGGGGGAACTGGAAATAAAGCATGACCAGTAGCTGTTCTTTCTCAAGTGAGTCACATCAAAATGTGGAATTAGCTTTCTCAAAAGTACGTATTTCACTTTACTGCAATAAATGGTACATCCAATGCTTTCAAAGTCTCTATTGTCTATTAAATGCAAAAGCTCTATTCCAAAAGTATGCCAACATGCTGTTTAACTTCCTAAAAAGAACTGAATCTACCGCAAATAAGGAAACGGAATTAGCACGGGATTTCATCTCAACCAAATCATTCTGCCCCCGCGAGAGGTTACATAAAGGGTCAGAACACGCCTCCAAGCAGAAGCTGCGGGCAAAACCCTAGTCAGCCACCTCTTCCCCAAAGTGGGGCGGGGAAGGCCCGGGTCTACTTGGCAATACCAAAAGTAAAACAACACAACAAAACAAAACCTCATACAGAGGACTGAAACCAACAAAGGTAATGCGTGCCCAGTGTTTAACATTATTACGGTTAGAAAATAAAGTGGTACAAAAACCTGTTTGGTCTGCGTGTCACGGGTCTCTTAGCCTTGCAATATTTTCACCTCACTGATTTTCTTAATAAAATCAAATTAGGCTCCGCATAAAGAGGCCCCTCCGATTCTGAAATGGGCCTAATAAACCGGAGAAGGAGATACCTACTCTACCCGTCCGCGGAGCCCCCACCTTTTGCTACGGGCCTTCACTAGCCAAGAGACCTTCTCAAACACCTTGACAACTGCAAAGTGGAGCGGGTCGGCCCTAGTGGACGCTTGGGAACGGAGTAACTACAACCTATCCAGAATCCAGGCTGCGCCGGCAATCATTCCACGCTTCACACTCACTGCCTCATTTAACCTTCTCAACCACCATATAAGGCAAGAATTACCAGCTGTGTCCTACAAATGAAGAAACTGAGGCGCTGAGACGTTAAATGGGAAGCCAAAGATCACAAAGGGCGGGAAGCCAGACTTGAACCAGGTTTCTCAGGTCACCCCGCTCCCCCCGGCCTTTACACTGGGATTTTCATTGCTCCTCTCTGGGAACCCCAGCAAGGGTCAGTCTGACCACTCGCAGGGCGCAGGTGTGGTCAGTTCCCGGGGCTCCTCAGGCAGGGGCTCCAGCCGCCGCTTCTGTGAACCCCGAGAGCCGCTCACCTTACTCAGCCGCTACCGTCCTCCAGCAGCGCGCCCAACCCCGCCGGCTCAGCGGCCCGGCCCCGCCTCTGCGACCGTTACCACGCCGTGGGAGGCCGGCCAATCGAGCCCGAGCGCGTCGAGGAGCCTGCCTCTGCTCTGGCTTAAACGCCGGAGCGATTTTCTCAGACCGCCCGTGAAGGCTGGGCCTGCCCCGCGCCCTCTGGTTGGCTCCGCTTCTGGGGGTGGGGCCTAACTTTGACTTAGACCTGTGCGTGCAGGGCTGGTTTTGTCGTCTGCGCCTGCGCACTTCCATTGCAGCTGAAAATAGGCTCTGGCTCAAGTTGTCTCTCTCACTTACCTGGATCACACACGCACACGCACACACACACATACACACGTCGTGTCTGCTAGCTCCTGCGGATCACGTCAGCGTGTTCTCTATGTTCCAGACCTGGCTGAGCGGTGCAGCGCCTGGCATTTGGAGGACGCAAATAAGTGTTTGTTGATGACGTTTTACCCTCCCATTAAACATTTTCCAAATCTCCACGAAGTGTCAGGCCATACATCGAGCTCCAAAAATGCAAAAGTGTCTGGCTGGAGATGTTCAAAATCTAGTTAGGGGGATAGGTATACACCCTGAAATTAAGGTGCAGTGTGATAGGCATGATCAGAGAAAGGTGTCTAGGGCACAGAAGGGAAAGAAAAGGAGGATTTACCTAGGTCCCTGAAGTCTTCCTCGACCAGTGCGTCTCAACCCTGGCTGCACATTAGAATCACCTGGGGAGCTTTGGCAACAATGTTCAGACCCCAAGTTAAGTATATCAGAATCTGCTGGGTAGGACCCAGGCATTGGTAGTTTGTAAAGCTCCCCAGGTGATTCCAATGTGCAGCCAAGGTAGAGAACTACAAACCTAGAGAGATGCATAAGAAGAATGATTCTGAATGGTGAAGAGTTCCCCAGCAATACAGATAGGAAAGGCAGAAATGCGTGGAGGGAGAGGGGGTTCAAGAACCTGCTGTTCTTTATGTCTTAGCACAGAAAGAATTCATTGAGAGGCAAAGTGATAGATCAGAAGTGTTTTATTAGAGTAGGACGCTTGTGAGGCTTACAAGCTGGTGGGCAAGGGAATGCCGCTCCGAGAAGTTAGTGGGCTACAGTTTTATAATCAAAGAAAAAGAAGACCACCTTCTTCCTCATTCTTGAGTAGATATCAAGCTTCCATCATCAGTTCCACCTCCACATCAGGTGGAGGAGTTTTCTTGTCCCCACATGGTCGAACTGGGACTGTCATGGTGCAATGGAAATGAGCAAAAAGGCAGTAACATATACTAAAATATGATAAATCATCTCGGGTTTCAGTATAATGTCACCTTTTCCTTATATTTTTGTTTTTAGTGTGCACAGAGAAGCATGTCCTAGGAATCATTAATTTACTGACCTCACTGGGCAGGATGTGTGTCTCATGCCACCACTGTTTTGTTTTGGGGCAAGTTATGCTTCTGTTGCATGGTTTTGTTGCTAAGCAAGCCTGCTTTCTTGAGTGATCATTAACTTACAGGGGTGTCCCATACTTTTTCCTTACAATCCCCTAGAGGAATTAACTATTTAATCACCTACTTTGGCCATTTACTCTGTCCCTATCAGTATTTAGAGAAAACTTCATGTGCAAATTAAGATAATAACTCCAAAGCACATTATTATAATGCCTAGTTCACAAGTGCTCAGTAAACCTTACTTTTTTTTTTATCTTTCTGTAATTAAACCTGGACTCCTTTGGTACAGCTCATATCTGCCCTCCCCCAAACCTAACTCCCAAAGCATTGGCCAATATAATGGGCTTCCTGAGGAAGCTGAGGAGTATGTTGAATCATTGGAGAATCAGAGAAGGAAGGCCTTTAGCAGGTGTGCTAAGGAGCTGGGACTTTGTACTGGAGGCGATGGGCAACCATAGATGAGTTTTCAAAAGGAGTATAAAATGGAAAGGCTTTTGTTTGGGTCTTTTCAAGCCTAACTTTCTTGCATCCTGATATATAAGTAAAAACTGTAAAAAAAAAAAAAGGGGGGGAGGGCTCCACAGTGTACAAATATGATCAGTGTTCTTTTTTCTCCACAAAAGGAAATCATCTCAATCCTCTCTGTATCACTTTAATAAATTCAGAATCTACAAATAGGGCCCCTGCCCACCTTTTTCAAAAACTCATAGCAGGTTAAGCGATCCAAAAATTCCCAAAGGAAAATCCGGCTGTGACACACCTGAAGGGAAGGCCTGGTGGCCTTTGTCATTGCATCTTATAGCCACACGATGTCACTGTTCGCAACCTGTACTTTCCAATTGGGCAAAGGATGCAAGTCTGTAGCACAGCAGGTCCCACAAAGGCCAACAGGGATCTCCCACGGAGGGCATGGTGTCTCTCACAAGGAGGTCTCAGGGTCACAGCTTTTAGGATTCAACTTTCAGGCCCATACTCAGCCTTCTTCCAGGCAGCTGGAGCCACTATGAGTTTGATCTCTGTGTCTGTCTGCCCCATGCAAACATGTCCTCACCCCACCGCCACCCCCAGCCCTTTCCATACTTAGCTATTCACACTAGCCTGGTTGGCAGATTTTCATTTTCAACACTTGGAACACAAAGAGTCTCACTGCTTGACTTTTCCAGGGTAATATGGTGACTTACCCACTTTTCTGAGTGTAGCTGCCCTAATTATAGCTAGGAGGCCAAACATCATTGGTCAATTAGGATTATTTGCCTGCAAATAGAATAGAAAATCTGATTTTAAAAAAATCTGATTCAAACTGTCTTCTTAAGCAATAAGGAAATTGATTATCTCACATAACAGGAAGTCCAGGGGCAAGACAGACTTTGGACTTGTTTGATGCAGTGGTTCAACAAGTTACCAAGACAAGTTATTGGAAAGTACAGGATATCAAGTTTATCAAGTTACCAAGGAAAAGTTTACCCTCTGGTGTGGGTGTTCCTTGAGTCACATGGATTACAAGAAGGAAACATGGCTACTTGGGTAAAATTGGAGTTCTGTAAGTATCAAGAGGAAAATGGACACTACATGGATGATCACCAGTATCCTTCACAATCTTCAAAGCAAAAAAGGCTGTTTATTCTCTAATTCCTAACAATAGAACCTCTCTCCCATCACTCCTGGATTTTGTATGTAGCAAGTGGAGAGGAGGAAGCTCTAGAGCACTGTCCTCCAAAGGAATCCCTTCTTCTGAACCCCTAAGGCTTTTCTAGCACCTCTCTGCCAGAAAAGGAAAGGGCCCTGCACACAAGTTCAGTCTTTAGGTCAGCATCCTGCTGCACTGGTCTCAAGAGTCTTCTATGGACCTCATCTACCCACCAGGATTCTAATGGTTCTAACACTCATTTAACATTCGTTCATTTACAAAAATTTATTAAGCACCTGTTATATACCACCGATTGAACTAGATACTTTCTACGGTGGTGAGTAAACCAGATGTGGTTCCTGCCCTCATGGAGCTTACAGTATAGTTGGGAAGAGAAATATGGAATACAAATAAGCATATAATTATAATAATTGCTATGAAGGAAGAGAATAGAGTTACATACAGGAGACCTCCCTGAGGAAGTGGCATTTAAGCTGAGATCCAAAGCCTGTCTTCATTTCGTCGTACTGCTTTCCTCTGTGTTTTGACTTCCCAGTATAATTTTTTTAAGGTTTTATGTATGTATGTATTTAATATGGCTGCATTGGGTCTTAGTTGCAACACGTGGGATCTTTGTTGCCGTGTGCATGATCTTTGTTGCAGTATGCGGGATATTTTAGTTGCGGCTTGCGAACTCTTAGTTGCGGCATGTGGGATCTAGTTCCCTGACCAGGGATCAAACCCGGGCTCCCTGATTGGAAGCGCAGAGTCTTAGCCACTGGACCATCAGGGAAGTCCCCCGCAGTGTAATTTATAGCCTACATTAGCAATTAAAATAGATCTATTTTCTAAATTTCTAAATTGATTCTCAAATTTTCTCCTGAGTATAGAATTATCAGGTGCCACAATAAGAAGTATAGCAAATATGAATGAAGAATTCTTGCAGATTCTTTGACTCACAAGTCTTTTAGACTTAGAATCCTTTATTACACTAATACATTTGCTCTGCCTCCCCTGGGGAGGTATGATCCATGGGGACATGGATCATACCTCACTAATCTTTTTCCAGTACCTAGCTTAGTCCCTGGCACATAGTAGGTGCTCAATACAGTGTTGAATTACATTGTTAAATCTGAGTCAGATTTATACAGCAGCATTCACCTTCAGTAGCCATTTTCCAGTATGAAAGACAATAAGCAAACAGCTCAGGCAAATATATTAATAACAAATGCTTAAGAATCCATACAGCATAACAACAGTTAAATGAATCGAGCCCTTAAAATGTGTCAGGCTCTGGGCTAAGTACTTTCATTTTCTAACTTGTTGACGCTTCACAACTTTAATGTAAGTACCGTTATTATCTTTGTTTTACAAATGATCAAATTAGAAAATAGAAGTTTAGAGAAATGACTTGCTAAGGTCACACTGCTAGTATGTGGCTGAGCCAGGATCCAGGATCTGAAACCAGCATTCAGGCTCCAAGAACCACTTCTCCCAATGGGCATCTGCTCTACCGTAAGATTGGTGTAGGCACTTATTCCAACTTGCAATTATTTCATCTGTCTCTGTATTAGTTATCTATTGATGCATAACAAATTACCCCTACTCATAGCAGCTTAAGCCAAACATTTATTACCTGGAAGTTTCTGTGGGTCAGGAATACAGGAGTAGGCTAACTGCAAGGTCTGGACAGACTCTTTCGTGATGGTGCACTCAACGGGTTGGCCGGGGCTAGAGTCATCTCAAGGTTCAAGTGGACTGAACGATCCATTTCCAAGCTCACTCATGTGGTTGCTGGCTGGCCTCGGTTCATTCCTTGTCAAGTGGACCTCTCCACAGGCTGCCTGAGTGTCCACATACGTAGCAGCTTCCCACAGAGGAAGTGATGAAGAGAATGTGTGAGCACCTAAGACAGAAGCTGAAGTCTTTTTTATAACCTGATCTTGGATGTGATATAGCATCACTTCTGCTGTATGCTACTGATTGCACAAACCAACCTTGCTAACACTTGGACAAGGGCTATACAAGGATGTGAATACTAGGAAGTAGGGAGCTCTGGGAGCCATCGTGGAGGCAACCTACCTCATTGCATCCGTTTGCTAATTTTTGTGACTGTCTTCTCCACTAGAATGTAAACTTCACGGGTGGGGAAAAGCCATCAGTGCTTCTCGTTGTCATATCCCCTCACACGCTGCCTGCCATATAACAGATTGTCAATAAATAGTGAATAAATGTGATGATGATGGTGATACTGTTACTGAATTAAGTTGTATGGACCCTACTCAGGCCATAGCCCGGCCAAGGGCCTCTGCCTTGTCAGGGGAGGGTTCTTTTTCCGTTTGGGTTCGAGTAAATAATGAAACGGAAGCTGAGATGAACACAGCACAGGCTTTATTCAGTGGCCAAAGAATAGAGAAGCGGGGAACTAAGTTCACAGATCATCTTCTCACCCACCCGGCAAGAGGGATTTAATGTTAAAAAGTACTGTAGGGCTTCCCTGGTGGCGCAGTGGTTGGGAGTCCGCCTGCCGATGCAGGGGACACGGGTTCGTGCCCCGGTCCGGGAAGATCCCACATGCCGTGGGGCGGCTGGGCCCGTGAGCCGTGGCCGCTGAGCCTGCGGGTCTGGAGCCTGTGCTCCGCAACGGGAGAGGGCAAAAAAAAAAAAAGTACTGTAAAGACACAGGGTCAGCTCTGGCAACAATAGGAATTCCAAAGGGTGGCTTCCTATAATCCCGTCCCGCTCTCACACAAATTCCCAGTTGCCATGCATGGTACCATGTAAATACTTTTTTAAGGCAGAACTATATCATGCCCTAAAACATGTACTCATGTATATAATTTCTATATAACTATAGAAGGTGGACTTGGAAGCAAACACACCAAACCCCTGAGAACGTTGGCCTTTGGGGAGGAGAAGAAAGTAATGGTGCTGCGGGTGAAAGTCAGATAGGGTTTAATCTTCTACTGGGATTTTTTTTATTGAGCCAACATTTAACGATGGTCAATTCTGGGTGGTGGGAATATGGGTATTTTTCTCTGTACTTTTCCATATTTTTAAAATTTCTCAAAATAAACTAGATATAGATTTGTAGTCCTAAGCAATTGGAACATGTGCCTTGGAATGATCCTTAGGCACTTAAAAAGTGCCTTCCTTTGGCTCTTTGCTCTAATTAAGGGTGTATCTACAAACCCCACTCTCCAGATGACTCAGACCAAAACCTATTTTCTCCTGAAATTGTCAAACTTTTCTGGTTTGAAGTTCTACAAAATCACCTTGGTTCGCTGCTTCTCCACTTTCTGTGTTTTGTGTAGATAGAGCCAGAGCCTCCATGGGCTGAAGGAGAGAGACCCAAGCAGCAGCAGCAGCCTGGCTGGCAACAGGGGGTGTGGTTCCTGGCACTGGTGCTGACATACAATCCTTTGAGGCCAGAGTCCTGGACCCCGGGCTCGTTTGAAAAGCACTGGTGCCTCTTCCTTTAACACACAGACAACAGTCACGCTGGACCAACACTGGAAGGGTGCATGGAAAGTTTTAAACCTGTAGGTATCAGATTATGCAACTTTTCCCTTTTTTTTTTTGTTTTTTTGCGGTACGCGGGCCTCTCACTGTTGTGGCCTCTCCGGTTGCGGAGCACAGGCTCCGGAGGTGCAGGCTCAGCGGCCATGGCTCACGGGCCCAGCCGCTCCGCGGCATGTGGGATCTTCCTGGACCGGGGCACGAACCCGTGTCCCCTGCGTCGGCAGGCGGCCTCTCAACCACTGTGCCACCAGGGAAGCCCCTTCCCTTTTATTTTGATGTCCATTCATGCTGTTTAAGTAGTAAGTTCAGAAAATCAGTCAATCCATTAACAATTTCCTTTTCCAATGGAGGCCCGACGAAAACATGGACTATTGTGAATGAAAGCACTTTTAGCTGCTGTCTTAACATAAATCACTGACATCCATGGGCAGGTTGGTGAGAGGCAGCTTAAGAGGTTAGAGCAACATTTAGGTACTTCTTGGGTAACAAGAAGACACTCTGAGAGTGGAAATAAAGTCAAAAGCAGGATCAGCCAGATGAGTACGTTTCACACTCAGTTCAATACCTTTCACAGTATTTTGTTCAGACTTTATTTCTTTCCATGACAATCCTGTTTGATAACAAGCGACTATTCCTATCTCCAGTGTCCTGGACCCAGGGAATGAGTAGGTAGAAAATACAGCCCAAACTGGTGTGTTCCTTAATTCCAGGTATCCCAGAACCTATACCCAAGGAGGAAACAGTGGCACAGAAGAAGCCAGCGGAGAAATCCGACTGCCTCGCCTATTCTGGGGACAGACTTGGGTACACTTCACGAGTGGGCTGACCCCCACTACATTCTGGGGCCCCTGGGAAGAGGGGCTCCCCAGGCCTCTAAGACAGGACCTATATTTCTGTTCATGCACAATTAATACTTTTTTAATAACAGGCCTTGTTAATATGAACTTTTCAAATCCCACAGGCCTGGCTCCACAACTTCTGAAGGGCTTTGGGTCTCTCTGCAAAATGGGTGTAAGTATAATCACTGGACTGTTGTGAGAACTACAGGCAATGATACACAAGGCACAAAGCAAGCATTCGATAAATTACACATCCTTGGTCTTGTAAAAGATATTCTGATTCCCAAAGTTTTACAAGAAAATATGACTCTTCATTAAACAATACTTTTGAGCTGCTGCCCAACCAGGGTTTCCTGGTCCTAGCCCAACAACTCACAGCTGTTTCTCAGAAGAACTAAGGATTGGGAGAAAGGAATTAGGGAGGTATCTTCAGCTAGCCTTGTCTCATCTCTGGAAATCACCACTCTGAGGCCTTTTACCTTTGCCCCCTAATTCATTCTTTTAACAATCATTTATTGAAAACTCTCTTTTCAGGACATTAGTGCAGAAAAAAATACAAATATGAAAAGTCTTTGTCTTCAGGGAGCTTTCAATACAGGGTGGCAAACAAGAAATCAGTGCTCTCTGAGATCCAGTCTACTACTTTGCAGAGAGGTTGACCTAATCAATAGATTGTTCTTTATTGTTTCTCAACTCCCCTTCTCTCACATACTTGCTCAGCACCCTCACTACCAATCCCAGAGGTGAAACAATCCTTTTTAACGTTAACATCAAGCTGCAGGAAGAAATTACACAATGGGGCCTAGATGTCCCTGTACCTCCAAATCTTCAGAGCCCCAGGACCCCCGGAGAATCACTTCACATGTCTCTACTTTGTTGCTGGGACCCACTCTCCACAGGGACCACTCACTGCTCTTCTCAGATGGCCCACTCACCCACGGTCCTCCCTCCCTGCAGTGATGCTGTCTCTTCCTTAAAGTGAAAAAAATCGAGGCCACCTAAAACATTACTCAGGCCTGCTCTTCATTCATTCATTTAACAAATATTTATCAGAGCCTAATACAAGCCTGCACTGTGCAGACGTGGGAGATGCTAGAGTGAGAACCGATCAGCCACCGTCCCCGCCTTCTCGGACCTCGGTGTACAATTACACTGCACATTCAGCAAAGATTACAAAGAATACTTGCACACCCTGAATGGAGCTGAGAAGGAGAATTCCAGGTGTTGCAAGCCTTAGGGGCCAGCGTAGTTTTCCTTAAGAAACGATATTTGAAGAACAATCTCAACAGCAAAATGGAGGTTAACTAAGGGAAGAGGCAGGGAGGAGCGTCCAGGCAGAGGGAAGAGCACGTGCAGAGGCCCTGGTTGAGAAGGACCTTGCAACATTTGAGGATCTAAATGAAGCCAGAGGAGGCAGGGGCAACATCAAACACAGCGCCTTGCGCCAACCCTAAGGAGTTTTGATGTTTAAAGAAATAGCCAGCAGCCTTACAGGGTTTCAAGGAGCGAATGCCACGATCGGATTTACCTGCCCCGCGGCTACAGAGCAGGTAGGGTTTGGCCCACCTGTTTTTCCCCGGCGTCCGACCAGCGCCGGCTATCCGCTGGCTCTTACCGAGGAGCCTAGGGAGGGGGTGAGAACACAAAGCCGGCGGCGGGAGCAGCGGGCGGGGTTGGGTCGCCGCGCGGGGAGGAGGAACGCGGCCTGCGCGGGGCACCCCTGGGGACCTGAAGCGCGACAGAGAGTCGGCGCGCTCGGGACTCGCGCCTGCCGAGCTCTCGCTTCCGCGGAGGCTGCGTCTGGTTCTCGGCGACGGGACGAGGCCACGCGGCCTAAGTGGCCGAGTCGGCAGAACCCACCGGTCTCTGGGCCCAGAGCCCCGCCGCGGCCCACAGCGCCCAGGTGAGCCCCGCGCTTCAGGTGGGGCGACCAGGCCGCCCCGGAAGCCCTTGCCCGCAGCCCCAGGCGACCCCGCCGCGGCGCTAGCGGCCGCCATCTCCGGGCGGCTGCGGCGGTGGGCGCGCCGAGCGGTGGGCGGTGTCTCCGCGGCCTGGCGACCCTGCGGTGAGGCCCGGGCCCGCACGGGGGGCAGGGAGGGGCCTCCTGGTGTCTCCCCGCGGCCGGGCCGCGGGCGGGGCGGGGCAGGGACCGGGGTGGGCGGCGGGGCCCCCCTACCCGGCCAGACCCCGCGACCCGCGGCTCTGGCCTCTCCCCGAGTATAAATTCATACTTGTCGCCGTCGGAAAAGTGGAGCAGAAAAGCACAAGCAAGGAAGAGCAGGAGCCGAACCCCCTCTCCCGGGAGACACTCGGGTTAACATTAAGGTGTATTTCCTTCCAGTCCCCTTTTCCCTGCAAGCATGAGCGAGCTGCAGTTTTGCTGAACCTGGATCATAAAGTGCCGCAGCTCGGCTTCTTTGTCTTACTAACACATCCCACGCGTCTGCGCGCGGCTTTCGATGTTTTTCTCCATCCTTTTCATTGGCCGCGCTAGGCTGTGTTGGGGCCAGGTTGACCGCGCCTGGCCGGGGCTTGACGCTCGCTGAGTGACAGGACTGTGATTTACATAATGGATTATCTCTCTGATGGTGAACGTACAGGTGGTTTTCAGTTCTTAGCTATTACAAAAAGCAGTTCGTTGAGCACTGTTCCGTCTGGTTTTTTGAGCACGATTATTTGTTTAGAGAGAATCCCTCGTAAGGCTTGTGGTATACGTTGCAAAAATGCACCTCGGAAAAGTTATTTCCGTTTTTGTGCCTCGCATTTGGGAACACCTGGCTTAGGGAGCTTTCTGACAGACTTTGCTGGAGATCCCAGTGCTTCACAAGGGATCCGCCGGACGGTGTCAACACCTCTTTAAGTTTGACCTGCCTTGTAGCTGGCCTTACCTAGAGCTTTGCTGAAAAGGAACTGTGAGTACCTTAGTAAATTTTAAAACTGACTTAGGTTTAGCTTGGATAAACCATTACAGTCTCCAATACGACTAAACCTAAGTTAAAGCAAAATTCAAGCTGGGGTTAGATGAACAGTGGAAACTGTTTTATATTTAAGTCATACTCTCTGATACATGGATGCTGGGTTGCTAGGGAAGGGATTTTAAAGGATTATGCTGATGGGTATGTCACCAGATACTCAGAAAGCTTCCTTTGAAGACATGTAAAGTTTCAAGTGAGTGAGTGACATTGCCCTTATCAGTGAAAATAAATGGAATTTGTTTCTCCATCCTTTTTATTTACATCCTTAAAACTTTGTGTTGAAACACAGGGGATTTTTCTTTGTAATAATCATTTTCCAGTTTGGTCACATGGTCGTGATAATTAAATGTATGTATGGTGGATGAATTTAGAATATGACATGTGTTTATTAAGTCCAATTTGTAGCTTGGAGATCTGTGTGAGACAGATATTTCTCATTATTCATATGAGTAAGGTAGAAATCGGGGACATGGACAGCTCTGATCATCTCTTGGTTATAGGTGTAATTATATTCCAAGAAACACTACTGGCAGGGCACCTGGGTTTTTTTTTTTTATATATAGTAATCTTTTATTTATTTATTTATTTTTATATTTATTTTTGGCTGTGTTGGGTCTTCATTTCTGTGCGAGGGCTTTCTCTAGTTGCGGCAAGCGGGGGCCACTCTTCATCGCGGTGCGCGGACCTCTTCACTATCGCGGCCTCTCTTGTTGCGAAGCACAGGCTCCAGACGCGCAGGCTCAGTAGTTGTGGCTCACGGGCCTAGTTGCTCCGCGGCATGTGGGATCTTCCCAGACCAGGGCTCGAACCCCTGTCCCCTGCATTAGCAGTCAGATTCTCAACCACTGCGCCACCTTGGGAAGCCCTGGGGTTTTTTTTTTTTAAAACAGTTTTGCTGAGATATAATTAATATAGCATACAATTCCCCCATTTAAAGGGTATAATTCAACGGGTTTTTTGTGTATTACAGTATTAATTTTTTAAGTTGTGGTAAAATATATATGACATAAAATTTGCCATTTTAAAATGTACAGTTCAGTGGCATAAAGTACATTCATGATGTTGTGGAACCGTCACCACTATTTCCAAAACTTCTTCAACACCTTAAACTGATACTCTATAAATAAATGTTGAATGTATAAGTGAATGTTGATAGTTGAGGGAAAAAGTTTTTTTCTGTGATCTTGATTTCTAACCTTTCTAATTTGCTGTGTTGTCTTTTATACTTTATATGAATTATAATTATAATTAATATGGTACCATGCCTTATGTTAGTGTGATAATATTTGAAGTTCCTTATAATGGAAAATTGGGCAGTTCTTTCAAGTTCGCTGAATTACTGAACTTTCTAGAGTCTCTAAAAGTTGTAGAGCAAATTTTGAATGATATCCCAAAATCTACTCTGATTTACAAAGGATGCTTATTTAAGTTTATATTATGCTGTTGGCTTACTCTATTGCTATGTATTCTCTTTGCTTTGATAGTTGCAGGATACCCTCCGCTTTCATAGGAGATATCCTAAGAATTTTTTTTAAAGATTTTTTTTGATGTGGACCATTTTTGAAGTCTTTATTGAATTTGTTACAGTATTGCTTCTGTTTCATGTTTTGGTTTTTTGGCCATGAGGCATGCGGGATCTTAGCTCCCCGATCAAGGATGGATCCCGCACCCCCTGCATTGGAAGGCAAAGCCTTAACCACTGGACCACCAGGGAGGTTCCCCTAAGAAATATTTTTAAGACTAGAAAAATCCACAAATATATATAAGGTGCTAAAAAAAAGAGGGATTTATTTTAGGTACAGTGTGTTTTGAATCTTTAGCTTTCATTCCAAAATGCTTAGCTTTTCTTTGCCTGTTGGATCGCTTTTATGGATGCTAAGGTCTTTAATATCTTTAAATTTTTTTAATTAATTTATTTATGGCTACGTTGGGTCTTCGTTGCTGCGCGCGGGCTTTCTCTAGTTGCGGGGAGCGGGGGCTACTCTTCGTTGCGGTGCGCAGGCTTCTCATTGCGGTGGTTTCTCTTGTTGTGGAGCACAGGCTCTAGGAGCACGGACTTCAGTAGTTGCAGCACTTGGGCTCAGTAGTTGTGGCTCACGGGCTTTAGAGCGCAGGCTCAGTAGTTGTGGCGTACGGGCTTAGTTGCTCCGCGGCATGTGGGATCTTCCCGGACCAGGGCTCGAACCCGTGTCCCCTGCATTGGCAGGCGGATTCTTAACCACTGCGCCACTAGGGAAGCCCTTAATATCTTTTAAAAAACAATTTGTGGCTTCTGGCTGTTTCCAGACCAAAACGATTGTCAATCTCCCGTTTTTTACAAGGAGTGAGCACCCTTGGACATCTATACAGAAAAGGCTAGACTGGAGTAGATCTTGGGAGCAAAAAATAGTTGAAATTATTTTTCAGTAGGTTTGGCAGGGGTACAACTGTTAATCCCAAATATTCAAATGTGGGGGGTTTCCTATGTGTGTGAGTATAATGTGTGCTTCTGATTTTAGCATTACAGCCCAGATACTGTTTAGTGAATTACACAGGAGTTCTGGACTTTAGTTTTGGCTTGGGCTCTTCTAGTGACCTGAGCAAACTACGTAACTTTTATGGATTCATTATTGGCACTAGTAAATTAAGTGGGCTTGAGTAAGTGGGCAAATTACGTTTGCTCTTAGAAAGCAAACTGGCATATCCCTGGATGCTTCTTGCAAGCTTAACACATATACCATACATTTCACCCATTTAAAGGGTATAATTCAATGGGCTTTTTATATATTACAGTATTAATTTTTTAAGTTGTGATAAAATACATATGACATAAAATTTGCCATTTTAAAATATACAGTTCAGGGGGCTTCCCTGGCTTCCGTAGTTCAGTGGCATAAACTAGAGTTTATTCTCTGGTTTTAGGAAATTATAAATCCATAACAGGTAAAAATATGATTGGCTAATTTGCGTGATTTAACTTCTTTCCCTGAAAATTAGATATTGCAATTCTATTGTATGTAAACGCTGTTTCATCAGAAACTGCGTGCAATTTAAGAAATGGATTGCAGGGTTAGAAAAACTCTTTGCAGATGTCATCTTTGTTGCTCTCAGTCTTTCTTTGCTGCAATTCTCCTTTTCTCTTTCCTGGCTGCTAATTGGATTAAAGACTGTTTTGCCAACCATGGCATCTGGAGATGACAGTCCTATCTTTGAAGATGACGAAAGGTAAATGTCTTACATTGCAATAAAACTAGCTTAATGAAAATTTCAAGAAGGTTTTAATCATTCAGGAGAGGTATTTATCCAGGCTACTTTTTAAAGGACACATTTTGTAATATTGCAGAACACATAGTTTTGCTTTTCTGTGACTTTGAGCAAGGGTGGTAAACACCTGGCATGGAGGTAGCCAGCACTAATGTGGCATCCTTTCCCATAGGACCTGGATGTAAGGTCTCCAAATCCATCTCAGCACAAAATTCTTGGCAGTCACTTCAACATGATATAAAATCCATTTACTGTCTTTGATTTAGACCCTACAAAGGAGATAGAGTGAATGAAGAGTAGGATGTAGTTAAGAGACAGACTCTGGAGCCAGAGTCCTAAGTTTACATCCCATCTGCCACTTACTGTCATTGTGACCTTAAACGAGCCCTTGGCCTCTCTGAGCCTCAGTTTCCTCATCTATAAATAGAGATAATGATAGTACCCACCTCATGGTGAGGATTCTTTGAGTTAATATATATAAAGCTCTTAGCACAGTGATTGACACACAGTAAGTACTAAATAACTGTTAGCTATGATCATTATTGCTGTAATAAATGTTACTTCTCTCAAAGCTAAAGATCTATATCAGTATCAAAATAGTACTTACATGTTACATATTCATTATACATAACAGGTTATTCACATAGGACACACATATAATATATATTTTATATTAAATTGTGCCAGAAACTTGACAAAACAGAATCCTTTATATTTTTAATAAGATTTCCTATAATAATGACAAGATTACTATCTTCCATAACATTTTTATATCTATTATAGAACATTTCTTCCATGACTTCTTTTTTCCTCAGTCTTAGTATTATAAATTAGAACCTTTTTTGTTAAAATTAATCCCTAGTTATTGGTTTAAGTATAAAATGTTTTGAGAATTCTTGCTTTAGAGTGATTGGACCTGAAAAAGTAAAACCAAAATTAAATACTGTGCTTTTTAAGTGACGGGAGGGAGAAGTAGAAACTTTTTACTGACCTTTCCGAGCATTATTCTGTGGCCTAGCTTAGAATACTGTCGTGGATAAACTGACTGATTCTTAATCCTATTATATTAAGGTGACTTTGGAATTATCTGACTATATACCCATATATAGTAATTTCATCTTAAAAGAAGAATGCATAAGAGGGAGAAGATAGTTACATGTACTTTAAGTAGGCTTTCTTAGCTAATATCACTTTAATATTTTATAATTTCAGGGCTTTTTGAAATCTGATATTTTCACCTTGGAAGGATTAATTGGTTATTCTGTTACTGTTTTGGCCTATTATAATTGCTTAATTTTATTCCCTTAGCCCTCCTTACAGCCTGGAAAAAATGACAGATCTCGTAGCTGTTTGGGATGTTGCTTTAAGTGATGGAGTCCATAAGATTGAATTCGAACATGGGACCACATCAGGCAAACGAGTGGTATATGTAGATGGGAAGGTAGGAAAAACTGTCACTTCGTAAAATATGGTGTACAGGGAAGCTTGATTTTGCTAATGTCGATTCTTCATATGTGAATGCAAGGCTTTTCTCTTACAGTGGTTATCTTTATATATTGGCCTGTATCATTTTGCCGTACAAAGTAAACTAATAATAGTTGTGCAATTCATAGACTATAGCATCTAATATTTAAACTTAAAATGACTTTATTTTCTAAAACCTTTGTATCGTGAAAATATTAAATTTTCTTCCATTTATGTGTTTTCAACTTTTATATTTTATTACTTAGGAAGAGATAAGAAAAGAATGGATGTTCAAATTAGTGGGCAAAGAAACCTTCTGTGTTGGAGCTTCAAAGATGAAAGCAACCATAAATATAGATGCTGTCAGTGGTTTTGCTTATGAATATACTCTGGAAATTAATGGGAAAAGTCTCAAGAAGTATATGGAGAACAGATCAAAAACCACCAATACTTGGGTATTACATTTGGATGGTGAGGACTTTAGAGTTGTGCTGGGTAAGTGAGAGCCGTTTCTGCAGAATTTGTTGGCTTTTTATGGTGGCCATTTAATTAGTTCCTCTAACTTTCCAGACCTTTTATGGGAGCTTTGAATAGGAGAGAATGTTAAGTGCAGTTATATTTCTCACGTGTCCTGTGGAAATGAAGTATTCATTAAATCGACTGATTTATATGGAAAATATGAGAGCCAGATTTTATAGTGATGGATTCGAGGATTATAAACTTGGGTTTAAAAAAAGAAATATTGATATAGACATTTGTTATTATTTGATATTTCTCTTTAAAACTATGTCTAAAGGCAGTTGGAAATTAAAGATTCATCAGTAAAAAGGGAATTTTTCTCTAGATAGCAATAGGTTTAGGACTGCAGCAGATCAAAATCATCAGTCCAGATAAAGTAGATTAAAAAATAAAAAGTAAGCCATTACTCTTTGAGCTAAGTTCTGCTATTACAGATTGCCATCTGTGTTCTCAGTTTCTATTGGGCCTACAAAACTTGCAAGACAAATATTTACTACCTTTTCACTCTTCTGGTTACTCTTAGTATTTCCTGCTTCTCATATCACTAAGTTAAGACTATGTAGATCATCTCATTAATTCACTGATTCATTTATTAGGTAATATTGAGAACCTCTTAAAGGGCAGTTTGTGTACCAGGCCTTGAGGATCCATAAATGAAGAGACTTTGTCTGTGTCTTTTAAGAGTATATAGTCCAGGGCTTCCCTGGTGGCGCAGTGGTTAAGAATCCGCCTGCCAAGGCAGGGGACACGGGTTTGAGCCCTGGTCTGGGAAGATCCCACATGCCACGGAGCAACTAAGCCCGTGTGCCACAACTACTGAGCCTGTGCTCTAGAGCCCGCGAGCCACAACTACTGAAGCCCTTGCACTTAGAACCCGTGCCCCTCAACAAGAGAAGCCACCACAATGAGAAGCCCGCGCACCGCAACAAAGAGTAGCCCCTGCTCGCCGCAGCTAGAGAAAGCCCGCATGCAGCAACGAAGACCCAACACAGCCAAAAATAAATAAATTTATTTAAAAACAAAAAGTATATAGTCTAGTTGAATGCTAGAAAATACCTTAAAAATTTTTTTTAAGAATGAAAAATGTTTATCAGGTAATAAATGCACATAGTTGGGAAAAAAGGAAACCAAAAACTCCTGTATGGTTTATTTATTAAAGAAATTGGGTCAATTTTTCTTGAAGAGGATAGGAAACCACCAAATTGTCTTCCAAAATGGCTGTACCATTTTGTGTTCCTCCCAGCAATGAGTGAGAGTTCCTGTTACTACACATCTTTGCCAGCAGTGTTGCCAGTGTTTTGGATTTTGGTCATTCTAATAAGTGTGTAGTGATATCTCACTTTTAACTTGCTAGTCCCTAATAATATGTGGTGTTGAGCATCTTTTCATATGCTTATTTGCCATCTGTGTATCTTCTTTGGGGAGCTGTTTCTATAGAGCTTTTGCCCATGAGAGCCAGATTTTATAGTGATGGATTCGAGGATTATAAACTTGGGTTTAAAAAAAGAAATATTGATGTGGTTTGTTTTCCTACTGTTGAGTTTTAAGAGTTCTTAGTATATTTTAGATAACGAGTTAAAAAAAGTTGGAACCATAACTTTAGTGCCTTATGAGATTTACGTATCATGAGAAAAAAGCAGATTAATTTTTTCAACCATTTTGGCTTCAGTTATATTTAAAAGACTATGTCTAGGTTGCCATTTAAATACTTCTTGTCAGTCAATAATTCTAAAAATGTAACAAAGATATTTAGATACACGTTCTTTATCGGATACGTTTTGCAGTTATTTTCTTCCAGCCTGTGACTTGTACTGTCATCTTTATTTCTTTTGATTTAAAAAATTTTCCTCCTCTTCATTTTCTGTTTCTATTAAGGAATTATTTATTATGTTTGTTTTGTGTTCCTTTTAGTTGAGTCCTCATTTATGAAATTATTTCTAATTTTTACTGAGTTCTATACTTCATTTCTCAGTTTCTCTAATCATTGTTTAGTCACTTTCATATCTTGTATGATTTTCTTAATTTCTTTCAGCTCGTTTTGAAATAGTATTTTACAGCTTTACCTTTCATGTAAGCATGTCTTTCTGATATTTCTATTATCTATAATGATGGCAGTCTGTTCTTTTTTCTTACAATTTTGTGTGGATCTAGAGCTCAGTACCTCTCTTTGATAATTCTTATATGATCTTAGTTTTTCTGAATTTATAGAAGGGAGTGTGGTTTTGTGTAGCTTTTTAAACTTCAGGTTCTTGAGTTCCCTTTTCTGTCGTTTTTGGATGATGTTAAAAATCATTGGGGCACACTTTCTGAGATGGCTGCTGTTTCCTTACCCCGTTTTTTCTAGATTTTCTCTTTTACTCGTTTCCCTGGGTGCTCAGTTTGGATTGTCTTCCCACCTCAGTGTGGGGTTTGTACTGTAAGGGAGCTTCGGCGGGTTGGTTTCAGGGTTCCTGGGGCCCAGACTGCTGTAGCCCTTTCAGACCCCTCCCGCTGCTCCCACACCCCATCCACTGTCAGGATGTAAAAACCCTTATAGTTCAGCTGCTCTTCACACATCCCCGCTCCGAATGCTCCAGTTAGAACCGGGACTGCTGTCTGGGGATTCTTAGGTCCACCAGAGGCTCTGCTGCTTCCCTCTGCTTCCTTCTGCATGGTTGCTGATACTACAGCTACGGTCTTGGAGTTGCCGGTGGTTCCCCCACCTATTGGTACTGTAGAGTTTGTGGTGTAGATACTGTCCTTCGGGTCTTTGGTTCTGTTCTGTTGCCCTGTCTGTTTTAGCAGGGGAAATTTGGAGACTGTAAAAAACTCATGCCTGTGCTACCACTACCACCATCTTCATCATCAGCTTTCAAATTTACTTCATCCCCTGTTGAGTAAGATGAGGCTGTGAACATATAGTACCCCCGCCGCTCCTCTCCCACCTTTACCACCTTCAACTTCTGTCTTCTCTACCTTTTCTTTGACATCATCAGAGTAGTTAATATTTTTATTCTGTTCTGTAGCCATAACTGTGTTGTTTTTTCTATAGGTTGATTCTAAAATTAAAAACCAATAAATAATATTTATATTATTGTGATTTTGTAAATATTTTTGGAGTGGGCCACGGTTACATTCTTTCTCTATATTATTGTCACACCCCCTGTGCCACTCAAAGGAAGTTGTTTTTAGTGTCAAGGTCAAGTAAGTGAGTTTTCTGTTCTATAATCTACCAGTTTCTCAAAATTATACCTCATTTTTTGTTTACTTCACAATTGGACCTTGATTTTTTTTTTTTAGTCATTTGTTTTTCTGGGCTCTTCTGGTGGCTTTTCTCTTTTCTTGTTGGAAAGGGAAATATATCTTCTTTGCTCATGTTCCTAATGTCTGTTTGCATTTTTTACTCCTATTATCTATTGCTTTGAAAACTTCTCATTCTTAATGACAGTATTCTTGGGCGTCTGTTGACTTCCTGTTCAAAACTAGATAGTTGCTTCCCAGGCCTGCTGCCCAGTGGCTGTCCTGGGCTTGCTTTCATGGAACCCTGGCTTTAGTTCCATCAGTTATTGAATCCCACAGCTGCCAGTTTTACCTTTGTTTACTGGAAAATATCCTTAAGTGATTTCCTAATAAAGGGTGTCTAGGAGCTAAATATTATATGAACCTTATACGAAGTTGATACTTTTGTGGAGTATAGAGTTTGAGCTTTAAAATGTGTTTTTTTTTTTCCCCTGAGAAATTTTGAAAGCCTTGTTCCATTGTCTTCTATTCTCCATTGTTTTGAATGAGAAGTTCTATGCCAGTCTGAATCTCATTAGTTTTTTCTTTCTGGAAGCTTTTGGGGGCTCATCTTTATTTTCCAGAATTTTACAGTGTTGTGTTTAGAAATGTAGTGGCTCACCAGTCTTTACTTTTAGGTGAAAAATGGTATTTCAGCATGTTTTTTATTTGCCTCTTTCAGAATTGCGTGAGGTTGAGCCTCTTTTCATGTGTTTAAGGTCCTTTTGTGTTTCTTTTCTGATAATGCCTGTACGTGTCCTTTGACCTGTTTTCCCTTGGGTTGTTGGTCTTTTTCTCCTTGATTGCTAGGAGTCCTTCTATTACTAAAATTAGCTCTTTGTATTGTGAGCTTCAAGTATTTTTCCCAGTCTGTCATTTATTATATGACTTTGCTTATACGTATGCATGTGTTTTTTTAATCATGCAGAAATCTTTTTTACTTTCATGTAGTCAGATTTACTTACCCCTTTTCTTTTATGGCTTCTGGATTAGCAATGTTCTTCAGAGGCATGTTAATAACAGCTATTATAGAAAATATGAGTACAGGTACACATTCAGTTGGCCCACTAAATAAAATTCTGATTGTCACCACCGTCATGGTTTATTTGAGCACCCTGTGCTCTGACCCAGGTGGCTGAGCTGGGTTTCCCCACAACTGTGGCCGTAGATGCTCCCCACTCAGGCTGCCATTGGGCTTCCCCTCCCATACCTCCTGGGCCCCTCTGCTCTTCTCTTTCCCTCTAGCCCAGTTCAAAGTCCTTTCTCCACTCTCTAAGTGAGGCTCACATCTCGAGGTGCAGGGAGAAGAGACCGTGTTCCTGGAGTAGACAGCTTGTCAGTGTCAAGGCATCCAGCCTTGACACCCAGGCAGGTTTGGTTTGTTTTTTTTTTTAATATGAATAGTACTTTTTTTTTCTTTTTAAGAAGATGTTGGGGGTAGGAGTTTATTAATTTATTGTTTTTGCTGTGTTGGGTCTTCGTTTCTGTGCGAGAGCGTTCTCTAGTTGTGGCAAGCGGGGGCCACTCTTCATGGCGGTGTGCGGGCCTCTCACTATCGCGGCCTCTCTTGTTGCAGAGCACAGGCTCCAGACGCGCAGGCTCAGTAGTTGTGGCTCACGGGCCTAGTTGCTCTGCAGCATGTGGGATCCTCCCAGACCAGGGCTCGAACCCATGTCCCCTGTATTAGGAGTCAGATTCTCAACCAGTGCGCCACCAGGGAAGCCCGTGAATAGTACTTTTTAATGATTTGAAATTTAAATGCAAACAATTACCAGAAGAAAGCATGTAATTTTTTTTTGAATTGAATTTTTAAATTTAATTAATTTATTTTTTATACAGCAGGTTCTTGTTAGTTATCTATTTTATACATATTAGTGTATATGTGTCAATCCCAATCTCCCAATTCATCCCACCACCACCCCTCCTTTCTCCCCTTGGTGGCCATAAGTTTGTTCTCTACATCTGTGTCTCTATTTCTGCCTTGCAAACCAGTTCATCTGTACCATTTTTCTAGATTCCACATGTATGCGTTAAAATACGATACTTGTTTTTCTCTTTCTGACTTACCTCACTCTGTATGACAGTCTCTAGGTTCATCCACGTCTCTTCAGATGACCCAATTTCGTTCCTTTTTATGGCTGAGTAATATTCCATTGTATATATGCACCACATCTTCTTTATCCATTGCTTCCATGACCTGGCAATTGTAAATAGTGCTGCAGTGAACATTGGGGCCCAGGCAGGTTTTGACCCCTGGGCTCCGTATGCACACACAGGTCCCGCTTCTCTCTAGTCTTCGTTATAACACCCAAAGCTTGTCTTCTGGCTGCTTAATGAGTGCAGTCCTCCCACCTGCCACTCCCTGGGACATTGACATTCACAAGTGGCTCTAGGGATCCTTCCCCAAAATGCATATGCGTTTGTGACACGCGCACACATGTACACACCTCCCTGGAGTGAGCTGCGGCCGCTTAGCTAATGCCCAAGTGTATCGTGGCAGCATTTCGCTCTATCATGTCAGCACTGTGATCTGAACAGTCTGTCAAGTACTATGCCTATATTTTTTTCTTATGATCCAGTAATTTTCCTCAAAGTGAAACCATAACAAAATGAATAGAGATTATTGTGCTATCCAGTATGAAATTTAAGGCTAAATTGCTATCTATCCTGTATGAACAGCAAGGTAGCCTTTTTTGGCGGTCTCTTTGTGCCATCATCCAGTCGGGTTAGTGAGAGGCAGGAGGAATCATCTAGTCACTGATGTTAAAGGACATTCTAGGAGGGATAAATTAGGAGTCTGGGATTAGCAAATACACACTACTATATATGAAATAGATAAATGACAAGGTCCTACTGTATAGCACAGGGAACTCTACTCGATATTCTGTAATAACCTATAAGGGAAAAGAATCTGAAAAAGTTGTGTGTGTGTGTGTGTAAATGAATCACTGTGCTGTACACCTGAAACTAACACAACATTGTAAATCAACTATACTCCAATAAAAAAAAAGAAAAGCAATACTTGCTATAATCCAAAAAATAAAAATAAAAAAGGGATAAGGTCAAATATTGCATTACTTAAAGTACGTATGTTTTTTAAAGGCCAAAAGCACTCTTTAATTTGCTAAAATATATTGGTATCCTAAATGGAAACACATTGTAATCCTGGGAGTGTGTAAACCCTTCTTTGATTCACAACCAGACCTTAAAATTTTATTAAAACATTTCAGATGATATGAAAAAAAAGATATTCTGTGTGGAAAGGTCCCTCTTCGCATTCATTTGTCTGCATCCTCCTTTAAAGATTTTCTTTAACAAGTCTTCATTAATTTGTATTGGGATCATGATTTTTTCTTAAAAGATTGCTTTCATTTTTATTTCGTCTGCGAACAAAAGATAAACACAGTTTCTTCAAATTTGGAAGAATTTCAAAGCCATGAATGGAATTAATGGAGTTTTCAAAATCCAGTGTAACAGACTCTTCTTAAAATAATAAAGTGTTAACTTTAAATCACAGATTATAATTTTTTTTTCATCTGTTACTTTTACAGAAAAAGACACTATGGATGTATGGTGCAATGGTAAAAAAATGGAGACAGCAGTAAGTTGACCTTTTGATTACTCTCACCATGTGCGTGAGTGACCATTGAAATGTTGCTGTGTTTCCTAACTGGAGATTTTATAAGTAATGAAGGTCCTCTTGGTTAAAAACAAAAAAGAGATGAAGTAATACTGACTCCAAAATCTGAAGAACTTTTCTGGGCAGTGCCTGGGGCAGTGAGAGTTTGGTAACAACTTATGTGTGGCACCAAGCTCATACTCTACCTTTCCTCTCCTGGACCAGCCTCTACCCTGAAAAGAGTTCCCACATTTACAAAATCCTCCCCGGCGCGGTGCAGCACAGCGCAACCTGCTGCACGTCGGGACCGGGGTCCGTAGCGGAGAATCCTTCGTCCTGGGACACGGGCGCGCGGCTAGAAAGGTGGCCGCCCCCTCGCTCATCACGCCCATTTCATGAGGACCCTGGTGCTAAACCATTCAAAGATGATCTCCTTTTGGGTCTGGGTTTCGTACCTAGCAGAGCAGCTCCCTTGCTGCAAACTTATTGAAAGTCAGTCCTCGACACAAGGGTTTGTAAAAAAAAAAAGAAAGAAAGAAAGAAAAAAAAGTCCTCCCCAAAGGTTGAGTCCTCCTGTATTTATCCAGGTTAAAGAGGTGCTTTATACCACTGCTTCTCAAACTTGCATGCATAGAATCAGTTGGGGTCCTGTTTAAGTGCATATTCTCACATGTCCTCAGGTGTTGCCAGAGCTGCTGGTCCACAGGCCACTCTGAATAGGAAGGCTTTACGCCATACACTCAGAAAGCAGATAGTACTTCTCTAAAAGCAAAGATTGTGAAAAAGAAATGATGCACACAATGTCAGGTGACACAAAGGCAGGTAGGAAAGGGCACTGTCACGAACCCCAGAAGACAAGTGGAATTTGTAGAGTAGCAGTGCTCAGAGGCTACCCCACCCATTGAAGCCGAGCACAATGAAATCCCCATCCAAACCCCAGTGTGTTGGGCTTTTGCTGCTTGCACTGTTAGGGCTGTGGTGGGATGAATATAGGAGTGCATCTCAAGTGGGAAGGAAATAATAGTGGTATGTACAGCAGGGGAGGAAGTGAAGCAGGGGAGGTGGTCCTGGACAGCTGGGAGTGTGGAAGCAGGAGCTGAAATCTTTGAGTGGAAATTCCCATGTGTTCTGGGGTCAGCTGGCAAGCAGGTGGTATACCAGCCCTGGTGTCCCCTTTCATGGCTTCAGACGTGAACACCAGGGCTAGAGATCGTGAGAAGCTCTCTTCCCCTGGCACAGTTTAGCTAGTTGCAAGTTGTGGTTGCTGCTGTTATCTCCCTTCTCTATTGTAGGTCTGGGAAGGTGAGGAGATGTGCTTGGAGGGAAGGTCTGGGATGAATGTATTCAGCAGACTAGCTGGGTCTTATAGCCAATCTGCTTCTAAGGAAGTGCCCAAGCCAGAAATCAAAGGTTACAAAGATTAATGCTTTTCTCTTTATTAATCCTAGTTTTAATTCTTGAAGGGAAATGTAACCAGGGCTCAATCAAAATTGATCCTCCAGAGTTTGATCCACCCTCTGGGTTAAACCTACCCATCGAGACTTTTATGCAGAGAGGCTTGGAGAGCTCTTCAGTATTTTATGTCTCCTTTTGGACCAGCTTAAGTTTCCATGCCTACTGTGTGCCCGATGCCACATCTACTAGTCCTTCCTATTCTCTCTTTCCTACCCTGGAATTCCCTAGATGGAGAGTCTGCAGTTTGGGATCACATTCCTTCCACCCTCCAGGAATTCTCCAGTGCAAATGTAAAGAGAGATTTAAGAATGTGGTTGTAAATAAGTAGGGAGTTGAAAATAATGTCCATCCACAATGTCTTTGTTCCTCAGTAATTGACAAGAAACCACAAGTGTTTGGACAATAGCTCTGTCTCACCCAGTTGCCTCCTCATTGTAACTACGACCTAGTTTGCCGGGCAGTCTTCCCCAGCACTATGCACACCTGCTCTTGCTGCCTGTGAGTTACAGCTTATTTTCTCCATTTCCTTTTCATCTCAAAGCATCGTGACCAAGACCATGTATCTGTCAAATTACCAAGAAGCTACTGACAAGGATTGTATTATTCAACCCTTCCTCTGCCCTCTAAATTGATTTTTACAGAAGTATGACCTGAGGGATTTTTTCAAAGCTCAATGTGAAAAGGGGTAAAAAGAACACACTAGACTCCAGGGCCAGCACCCCCAGTCCTTGTGGTCAGTACACCTCCGTGTTGGCCAGATTCTTCCCAGAGCGAAGAAAAAGCTTCCCTCTCTGATGCCTCCTGTGCTTTCTTTGGTTAGATAATGTTAGCTACGGGGCCTTGCTCTGTCTGCTTTGGCTGCCAGGAAGCTCATAGCCAAGTTGTGAGTCTGATGGTGCTTCCTTGCATAATTCACTTTTATCCTCTAAGCCTCCTGCTCTTCCTTCCTTCTCCGTACCACTTGGCCCCTATCTTTTTACTCTAGATCAGTGCTGTTCAATAGAAATATGAGCCACAGATATGAGCTTCATATATAACTTTTCTAGTAGCCAGATTTCAGAAGTTTTACAGTGAAGTTCATCTTAATAAAAATTTGACTTAAATCAGTATATCAAAAATATTATCATTTAACATGTAATAAATATAAAAAGTTTCTACTGAGTCATTTTACATTCTTTGTTTCATACTAAGTCTTCCAAATCCAGTGGATATTTTACCCTTAACAGAGTATCTCATTTTAGACCCACCTCATTACATGCTCAGTTGCCACATGTGGCCAGTGGCTACTGTACTGGACAGAGCAAGTCTAGACTCAGTAGTGTTTGGTTTTATGTTATTTTTTATGTATTTATTGTAAGCCACCTTATACACTGGGGAATCAGATGTTCAGAGTGGTTAAGAGCACTCCATCCCTTACTGACTGGGGCCTTCAGCAGGTAATTTAACCACTGTGTGCCTCAGTTTCCTCACATATCAAATGTGGATAGTAATCGTACTCCAGTCAGGTTATTGTGAGGATGCAATAAAATAATGCATGTAAACCATTCTTTGTATAGAATAAATCACTAATAAATGTTTGCTATCAGGTTTATTATTTTTACTTTTGAAAATGGTCTACATTGTCTACATAGTATATGTTATAGACACATAGCCATTAGGTACACTTTTTTTTTTTCTCTGAAACTTAAGATTCTTAAAGATTGTAGGGGGTACAAATAAGAAACCTTCATAAAAGAGACGTAAAAGCATCTAAATACAAGCTTCTAACTTTAATCTTGCAAAGTTTAACATTGAACTAATATGTACTTCATTATACCTCCCTTTTTGGGTGATGTTAATGCTCTAGACAAAGATAAATGTTTCTGGAACACTAATTCCTCCTTCTTTTGTTTGCCCAGGGTGAGTTTGTAGATGACGGGACTGAAACTCACTTCAGTATTGGGAACCATGACTGTTACATAAAGGCTGTCAGTAGTGGGAAGCGGAAAGAAGGGATTATTCATACTCTCATTGTGGATAATAGAGAAATCCCAGAGATTCCTGAATGACTTCATGTTAATGAATTTTAATCTTAAGATGTAAAGATCAGGACTTTTAAATTACTGTGGTTATTAAATATGTTCAGTATGTACTTTTCAGTACATCTAGTCGCCATGTTTTTATTTTTTAGTTACCTGAAACTGTAATGTTCCAAAGGTCAGGAAAAAAAATTATGTATCATAATAAATATTGCAATTTATTTTGTAAAGAATGTAAAATGTTTTAACGTCAAATGGAAAATAAGATACGGACCAAAAATCACTAGTGTTTTACAAGAGCAACTTTTACTATAATAAATGCTATAAAATGAAATTGGTGCTGCTTGATTTGTTTCTTAAAATGGATGTCTTTGTATATTTTTAACCTGTGCAGATAGATTGTCTAGTTTAAAGCAGTTGGTATACAATGATATTATTAGTTTAACTGAAATGAGAAACATTTTCTATCTGGAAACAATGTTAAGGAGATGTCAGAGTGTCGCGTAAGAATTTAATTAAAAATAGGTTTCTGAAAAAAAAAATAGGTTCCTGAAAATCCAGTTGTTTAATCAGCATGATCAGGACAAAAAAAAAGGAAGAAGCAAACTTCTTTACACCAGACAGCATTAGTTGCATTGCCAGGCAGTGTTTAGAAAGAGTTGCACACCTGTGTGGAGGTAGCTAGCACCAGTGTTAGCGCTTTGTGACTGAAGCACACCCACCCAGGCAGATTCACAGAGATGCCGCCTCAGTATGGGAAGTGGTCCAGATTGTGTCAGTACTCGTTTCTGAAGGTCTTTCAGAGCAGGACATGGTTTAATAGTAGAGCCTTTTATCGGGATATTTCATGTCCATTATCACATGGGGATCCTCCATAAGAGGGAGACTTCTCCATTTTCTAGACTTGCTCTGTCCACTAGGGTAGCCATTAGTCATGTAGCTATTTAAGTTAAATTAACTAAAATGAAACAATTAAAAATTCCTCTACCACACTAGCCACATTTCGGGTCCTCAGCAGTCACATGAGGCTAGCAGCCACCACATTGGACAGTGCAGATACAGAACATTTCCATCATCATACCAAGTCTGACTGGACAGCACTGGCCTGGAGACATTGCTTCAAGCTTAGTGAGCTGTTCTGTACTGGAACAGGCAGGATTTAGACCCAGGTTTTTCTGACGCTAAAACCCATGTGCTGTACCTTCTTCCTGCCGCTCACGTATTTCTAAGATTTGGGGCAGAACAGAGGCACAACCACGCTCTAACATCAGGCACGAGGAACTGAGGGGCAGGACAGCAGCGAGGGAACGTGGCTCAGACAGGCGGGGCCCTGGCAGGCAACATGCGTGGTGGCAGAGCATATTAAAATTAGCCTGTGAGTTACCTACTCTGACATTTGTTTTATTTGAAGTCTTAAGACTGGAAGGTTAGCATACCACATGTATAGAAATCATCCCCCTGCTCTCCCCATGCCACCCCCCAGCCTTCCTTCACTGCCACTGGAAGATTAGGACATGAATGAACTAAGAGGGACTCTTCTGAGGCTTAAACTCATTTTGGGGTTTGCTTTCAAGTGTTTGGGTGTGGTCATTTTCATTTCCCTCGAATAAAGGACGTTATTTATTTATTTATTTATTTAATGGCTGTGTTGGGTTTTCGTTGCTGTGAGCGGGCTTTCTCTAGTTGCAGCAAACAGGGGCTACTCTTCGTTGCGGTGCGCGGGCTTCTCACTGCAGTGGCTTTTCACTGCAGTGGCTTCTCATTGTGGAGCACGGGCTCTAGGCGTGCGGTCTTCAGCAGTTGCGGCATACGGGCTCAGTTGTGGCTCGCGGGCTCTAGAGCACAGGCTCAGTAGTTGTGGCGCACGGGCTTAGTTGCTCCGCGGCATGTGGGATCTTCCCGGACCAGGGCTCGAACCCATGTCTCCTGCATTGGCAGGCGGATTCTTAACCGCTGCACCACCAGGGAAGCCCCTAAAGGGCGACTTTTAATGGTCATATTTTATCTGGTACAAAAAATGTTTTGTGCCATGTCCAAAAGCAAAGCAATTATTTTTAGGCACTTTGTTTTGAACTCTAGCTATTAGCAGTCAGAACTGTACTTTGCAGTGTGTTATTATGTTCCTCAGCAAACACATGGGGATACAGTTTGATTCAGTCTTATGGAGACCAAACCTTGAGAATGTAGTTTGCCTTTGACTTGGTGAACCCATGTTTTTTCTTTTGTTAATTTAAAGCAGCTTGGGGGAATTCCCTGGCAGTCCAGTGGTTAAGACTCAGCGCTTTCACTGCCGAGGGCCCAGGTTCAATCCCTGGTCGGGGAATTAAGATCCCACAAGCCTTGCGGTGCAGCCAAACAAACAAACAAAAAACCCAGCAGGGTCACGAGGAAGGTGTACAGCCTGGGTTTGAAGTTCGGCACCAAAGGTTAAGTTCTTGAGCCTGTGTTTCTCCAACCTAAAAAATAAGGCTATTTGTTTTGTTGTTTTGCTTAATGAGATATTTTAAATGTAGAAAAAATAGAAAATAATAAAACAAACACTTGTATTATTTAACTGGGTTTACCTATCATCCAGTTTAATAAGTAAGGCATTAAAATACAACTGAAGAGCCATATACCCTTGCTATTCCCATACCCCTCCCTTGCCAAAGTAATCACTATCGTGAACTTGATGTTTACCATTCCCATGCAAGTCTGTATTAAACTGTGTAGGTATATATCCCTAAAAAAATACAGTATTACTTAAAATTTTAAATGTTATATTCTCTGAATCCTTCCTGCATCTTGCTTTTTTTCCATTCAATATTGATTTTGAGATTGATCTAGGTTGGTACATGTAACTCCAGTTCCTTTTAACTCTTGCATTCAACCATATGAATTTAGCCATCCACTCGCCTCCGTAGTTTTCAGATGATCATTATACCATCAAAGCTCTAATGAACATCTTTGTGTCTCTGTGTGTCCCTTGAGAATATGCTCCAGTTTCTCTAGGGCTTTGCTGTTTAAAGTGTGTCCCTGGACCAGCAGCAATGACATCACCTAGGAGTTTGTTAGAAATTAAGAATCTCAGATCTTTCCAGCCTACCGAATCAGAATCTGGGTTTTAATAAGATCCCATGGTGATTTGTATGTGCATCAAGGATTGAGAAGCACTGCTTTAGGTATGCTAAGAAGTAGAATTGCTGAATGAAAGAGTAGTGCAAATCATATTAAAGATTTGCCAAATTGCTCTCAAAGGTGGTTGTACCATTATAAACTTTGGCCAGCAGCTTTTTTTTTTTTTTTTTTGTGGTACGCGGGCCTCTCACTGCTGTGGCCTCTCCCGTTGCCGGACGTGCAGGCTCAGCGGCCATGGCTCACGAGCCCAGCCACTCCGCGGCATGTGGGATCTTCCTGGACCGGGGCATGAACCCGCGTCCCCTGCATCGGCAGGCAGACTCTCAACCACTGTGCCACCAGGGAAGCCCTGACGAGCAGAATTCTTTACCTCGAATCTTCAAAGCTTGATACAGTCAGGATTTCAGAGTTTTGCCAATCCAATCGTTTTTTTAAAAATGGTATGTCATGGGAATTCCCTGGTGGTTCAGTGGTTAGGACTCCACGCTTTCACTGCCGAGGGTGCGGGTTCAATCCCCGGTCAGGGAACTAAGATCCTGAAAGCTGCGGGATGCGGCCTAAATAAATAAATAAATAAAATGGTGTATCTTTTGAATTTTCTCTGATTACTAGTTGAGTGTCTTACATGTTTATTGGCCATTCAGGCTTCCTTTTCCAAGAATTACCTTTTCATTTCTTTTACTTATTTTTCTGTTGTCTTCATTTTCTAATAGATATGTAGTCCTTTGACTGTAGTCTTTCCCTCGAAGCAGTACAAAATGTGCAGTGGATCAGCAAGTATCCCAGTCATCCCTTCCATTCCACACAATATATCCTCTAACAAGCTCTGAGGGCAGGGACAGCATACTGCTGTATCCCCCAGGACCTAACACGCCCCTCACAGATGGCGGGCAGTGAGATTTGTATTACTGCAGCTCAGAGGAGAGGTCTGGGATGGAGATATACCTGTGAGCATCATTAACATATACAAGAGATTTCATGCAATGGAAATGAATAACATCAACTAGGAAGGTTGTAGAAAGAGAAAAAAAGAAGCGACGGTTAAACCCTGAAGGGCTACAGCATTTAGGCAAGGGAGATCTTCATTAAGTAAGAAAATCCTGAAGCTATCAAACAACAACCTATCTGATTATCTAGAAGTTTAAAAGTTGTATGGTAAAAGATACCATAAGCAAAGTCAATAAACAAACAATAGATATGGGGAAGACACTTATAATGTAGATGACAAAGTCCAACATATATATAAAGAGCTTTTAAAAATTGATAAGAAAAGTCAGGCTAATTGTAAAATGGATAAAGGATGTTAATAGCCTATTTACAGAAAAGGAAATCCAAATGGCCAACAAATATATCTTTTAAATGCTCAAATTAATTTATAGCTAGGGGTATTATTTTAACAATGAAAACAGCAAAAAATATTTAAAAGAGCAATGACATATTACTGACTGTGATATGGAAGAAAGGGTACCCCTTCACACTTTGGTGATGAAAATAAGTAAGTTCTTAGGAAAGCAATTTATTAAATTGAAAGTTCCATTTATATAAAGCTCAAAAACAGGCAGAAACTAATATATAGTTTTAGAAGTCCACATAATGCTCACTTTAGGGGGTAGTTAGTAACTAGGAGCACGAGAGAAATTTCTGGGATAAAGGTAATTTTCTATTTTTGATGTGAATGCCGTTTACAAAGATGTATTCACTTTGTGAAAATTAATGAAGCTATATACCAATATGATTTTTACCTTTCTGTCTGTATGTTATATTCTGTATGAATGCTTAAATTTCAGTAAAGATTTTAAGGCGTACTTATAAAGTTTTTAAAAACACAACTCACACACACACACACCTCTCACACACCCTTCTCTTTGGGAATCTATCCCATAAAAACAAAGCCTTCAGTATCAGCATAAGGATATTTTTACAAGGATGTTTACTGCAGCATTGTGCATAGTGGGGGGGAAAAAACTGGAAATTGTGAATGCTTACCTACAGAGAAATGATTGAATAAATTATTATACACCATTAACTACAATTCAGCCATTTAGAAGAATGAACTGGAGAGATTTCCTTAAAGTATTTTTGAATAAAAATACTTACAGTAGGGCTTCCCTGGTGGTGCAGTGGTTGAGAGTCCACCTGCCGATGCAGGGGACGCGGGTTCGTGCCCCGATCTGGGAGGATCCTGCATGCCGCAGAGCGGCTGGGCCCGTGATCCATG